CGCCCACCCCCCCGGGTGCTGTGTGTCGCCCCGTGATCGCACGTCCTTGTAGGTACTGAGCATCCCTGCGCGTCCCTTGCACCCCCACGTGCCGTGCATCCCGATGCTCTCACCTGTGGGACACTGTCCCTGCTTGCACTCCTCGTGCAACCTGTGCCTGCAGCCCCCCGCTGCCATTTGCACCCCTGTGACCATGCATCCCCCTAGGCACATCCCTGCATATCCCTTGCGCCCCCATGTGCCGTTCATTCCCGTGGGCAAGCTCACACACAGCCAGTGCCTGAACCTTTCCATGCGCTCCTTGAATCTCCACAGTTGCATATCCTCGTGGGCACTTCCCAGTGCATCCCATCCCCTGCACCTCTGAGGGGGGCTGCTGTACTCTCGTGCATCCCAGTGGGCACCACTCAGTGCACCCTGCCCTGTGCACCCCAGAAGCACCCACTGCACCCCCTGTCCCGTTCACTCTGTCAGGCATCTGGGTGTCCCCTGCATGCCCTTGCACCCAGATGGACACATCCCACAGTGCCCTCTGAATCCTCTGTCCTGTGCACCCTGATGCTGCTCAGTGCATCATGCACTCAATTCCATGCAACAGGTGCCCCTTGCACCTCTGCCCCCTTCACCCCAACTGATACCCGGGGTCCCTGCATCCCAATAGGCCTCCCACCATGGACACCCTGATGGGCACCTCTTGTGCGTCCTGCCCACGTGTGTCCCAACAGGCACCTCCTGCCCAAACCCTCCCCATGCCACTCACCCACTCTCCCCGGGGTCCTGGCCAGGGAAAGGGAGGTGAAGGGCAGGTTTAGGGTGGCCCCAGGGAAAGGTGGGGTCTCTGTCCGGCTTGTGGCAGGGCTGGATGTGATGTTAAAATACTACAACCACCACCTGTGCTGTGCTTTGCTGAATTATGCCTTTTTAATGCCTGTTGCAAACCTCCGGGCACCAAGCGGTGACAGCAGCTGGTGGCACTCGGTCACCCCAAAACCCCCATGGGAAGTGGGAAGGAGCCCCAAGCATGGGGACACCCCAGCACCACCACATGTTCCCCCCCCAGCAAACACAACCACCGCACTCAGGGCAAATCCGCCCCAGGGGCAGCTGCATGACAGCTCCTGTTGGCTGCAGAAACCACCCTCTGGGAGAATGTTTTGGCAGCAGGTTTGTACCCCCGGTGCTGCAACTGCCAGTACCTAAGCATGGCAGCTTTGCAGCCTCCATGCACAGTGCTCACCACTTTGTCCCTGAGCCACATGGACCCACAGCAAACC